GTACAACAGCCCTAAACCCTGCTCTATCCTGTGCCAATCTCATTGCCTCTGACAAACCCATCCCGATTACCCCAGTCACTGAATCAATCCATCTCATAGAGGGCCTTCCCCTCCTGCACTGTCCCTCCACTCTGCCCAGCATGATGTCCCTCTCTAAAGACCTGTCTCTCCTTAGAACATGTCCAAAGTATGTCAGACGAAGCCCCAGAATCCTTGCCTCCAAGGAGCAGCCTGGTTTAACCCTCTCTAGGATGAATCTGTTTGTTTTCTTGGCAGTCCATGGTACCCTCAATACTCTTCTCCAGCACCACAGCTCAAAGGCGTCAATTCTCCTTCTGTCCTCCCTAGTCATTGTCCAACTCTCTGATGCATAACAAGTGATTGCAAAGACCATGGCCTGTATCAAGTGCACCTTAGTCTCCCGAGAGGCACCGTTGCTCTTGAGTACTTTAGAGAGGTTCCTAACTGCAGACTTTCCCATCGCAATATGTTTTTTGATTTCCTGGCTACTGGTGCCAAGAGTGTTGACCGTGGAGCCGAGCAGACTGAAGCTGTGAACAATCTCAATCTCTTTACCATCCATCCTGATGCTACCAATTGGTCCAGTTTTGTGCTTATCTTATAAAAATCATAGTACTCACATCCTAGTCACTGTGAGATGAGAGGAGATGATCGACAGAAGGTTTGGAACTGTGCTTGGTGCATCATGAGTGCTGAGTAAACCTCAGTTGTTATACCACTCATGTTAAAGAAGAAGACATTGAGGTTCCCAGGGACTCAGCACCTACTGAAGGTCCTGTCCTCCATGGTTACAGAAGTGAGGAGTCAGAAGCCAGTGAGGCCCCGAAGGAGGCAGTGCTTTGAAAAAGCAGGACCTGACCGCAGGGCATGCAGCTGTTATGATGTATAATCACCATGACCCCCTGAACCAGCTTTTAAAAAAGGAAATCACACCTGCATTGTCGGGCTGGGATCCTGCAAGGAGAGGCGAGACACCCCCCCCCCCAGGGTACATGGATGGCTGGTGTGGCCTCCTGGGCCCGCAGGACTCCAGGCTTTGAGCCCATCTCCCCTGGTCTGCTCATCACAGCACTGCACATGGGGTGGCTGTTTCCTTCTGGTGAGGTTGCCGGCAGAAGCAGCTCCTCTGTGGGCTCCTAAGGGAGGGATCACTTAGCAACCCAGCTTACACTGCTGTTGATGAAGTACATTAATAACTCAGATTGCTTCCTGAAGGCACAAGAGATGTGGATAGGGTGGAGGAAATGCCAGCAAGTCTCCCTGACTACCAACCCCCTATTAGTACACGAAGACCACTGCTCCCAGGGAGGTGGGGCTTGGACTTAGGACTCTGATGTGGATGCCGTGGCTTCTGACCCAAGGCTGCCCCGATGGTCCAGGGCCTCTGACCGGCTTCTCTTGGCCATAGTTTCTTTTGGCCATGGTTTCTTAAGGGTAGATGACACAGTAAGAGGACAGGATTAAAGTTAAATATGAGTTTGGGTTTGAGTTATACCTGTCTGTCCTTGCTGTCAAGTTGGACCTAACTAATGGCTAGCCTTCTAGTAGGTTTTCGGAGCCTGTAAATCGCATGGGAGGAGATTGCCTATCTTTCACCCTTAGAGCAATTAGTGATGCCTTTGATTTAGCAGTGCAGGCCAGATATACCAATAACTGTTCATTTCTTTTAAAGAGTCACCCAACCCTTCCCTCTAAGCCTGGGTCTCCTTAGTAGCTACTGTGACGGAAATGATGTCAGAGTGTTTGGTAAAACATCTGGCATGTAGAAATGCTCCTGATTGTCAGGGATTATTATCCGTGAAACAGAAGGCTTTTTCTAAAGCAGTGGTTTCAAACCCTAGCTTGACTTGAGACTCAGCTGGCAGCTTCTGTAACGTGCCGCTGCCAGGGCCCCACCTCAGACCAACTGGGTCAGAACCTCTGGGTGTGGCCCACATGCTGTCATCCAAACCTCCACAGGTGACATGCACACAGCCTGGACTGAAATCTCTAGAGTCCCTTCCTCGTTTGATGATTTCTGATGATACCTCTTCCGCAGGCTCCTTGATATTATTCCCTCTGAGCACAAATATGAGCCCTTGAACTAGTAATGAAGGAGGGAGATCCTCAGCACCCTGTAAGGACCTGTCCTATGGGTCTGTGAGGGCAATGTCCCCTAGCTCCTGGTCCACTGGGATCCTGGAATATGTCCACCTCTGGCATTCTTCTTTATCCATTCTCAACCCATAGCAATTTTGAACTTCCTTAATGTCTTTGTTGTCCTTGGAACTATCCTCTTCATACCTTGCCTTTACTGTCGGCTCTGAGAGGGCACTGTGGAGTTCATGCTGAGAGAGAAGAGGTATCCCTGGTCTCATTCCCCTTGTCTGGGTCTGCAGAAAAGCAAAGATAGGCATTTGCCATCTCAGGTTCTGGTGAGCTGTCAGCTCACGAGTCCTCCTGCCCTCTTAGGCAGGGGTGAGGTGAGTGTGAATGACTGCAGGCTGAACCTTCAGAAATGGATTCCACGTCAGGGACATAGAGTTCTGGAGTAGAAGGTACCCTAGATATCTTACCATTTTCTAACTGAACAGAAAATGAGGTCCAGAGAGGGGAGACGACTGTCTGAAATCACACCATGACAAGTGGCAAGTCTAGAACCAGCTTCATGGCTGTGAGACTAAAGGGTAAACATGAGGGCATGTTAAAATTCATCCCCACACTTTCAGGTCCATCAAAAATAAGCTAACTTCTTCCTCTTCTTCACCTGCCTGATTGAGTTAATGCATAAACTTCCTTACCACCTATTTCTTTTCTGTCATAGCAATGAGATTTGTTACAAGTTACCAGAAATAAGGTTGCAACACCCCCATGATACATCTTCAAGGATATGAACATGTACGGCCAAGCACAATCAATAAGAGTGCATCTAAATTCCAAAATAAATCTCCATAATAGCCTATGTGTTTCCTACTGCCAAAGGGGCCCTTTAGAGTAGTGAGAGAAGATCTTCA